CAAAGTGCTCGCACTCAAAAATGGCTGAAAAATGAGCAGGTCCAATGCCTGGAAAACATAAAGCAACTAAATGAAAATTTAGTCTTGGAGGGTGAATTAGCAGCTGGCTTCTTCCCAAGCCCCACCTGCTCAGCATGGAGCTGAATTTCTTTCAGAAATGTTAGGCAGGGAATGGGACTGAAGCCAATAAACAGCAGCCTCTCTTTTCAAAACTCTGTGCTGCTAACGTTTACATGGAAAATCTGATTTTAAATAGAAGCCTCAATACAGAACTTAATTGTCCATCTTTATTGCAATTCTGCTGCGTCTTAGCCATTTCTACAATGTTACATGATCTGTGAAGAAAAACTTTGCTGGCTACTTGATTTTTCTTTGTCCGTAGCCTTTAAAATATGTTATTAAAAATAAACTTTCTTATTAGGAAATATCATTGATCTCTTTGCAAGAAAAAAAAAATCAATTTGTAGTTCACCAAAGGATTCTCTCTTTTTTCAGCTACAGCATTTATATAAGACCATCTCGGATGGAAAACAATTCAAGGAGACCGAGGGTCAAACCTTGTAAGATTCTTATCTGAGCCAGTAAAGTGGCCCTACTTCTCTTCCCTGGTTCTGCAGATTGATTCAGAGCCAGATTGATTCAGCTTGTTGCTGAATGACAGTTTTGGGAGAGGAAAAAGGTTCCTTTGCTTTTGTTCTTTCTGTGATATTGGGTGCATCTCCATTGTAGAAATAATGCAGTTTGACACCACTTTAAGTGCTGTAGCTCCATCCTATTGAATCCTGGGATTTGTAGTTTTATAAGGTCTTTAGCCTGCTCTGCCAAAGAGTGTTGGTGCCTCACAAAACTACAACCCCAGGATTCTGTAAGATAGAGCCATGGCAGTTAAAGTGTTGTCAAACTGCATTAGTTCTACAGCGGAGATGCACCCATTGCACAGTCCTTTCTTATACTTTGCATCCATTTTCAGATGAAATGTCATAATAGAACCAATTACTCAGGCCATCCAAGAATTTCATGGGAATTCTAGAGCGGGTGTGGAACTACCAGATGAATAAGAGGTTCTTCAATATTGATGTGCAGTGGGGATATTATAGGCCTAGTATGATGGCAGCTGGAGGTTACTGTGTCAGTGTCCATATTGGCAGGGATGAATGTGGATGATTATGCCCTATATTATTCAATGGCAGCAATGTGAATATACATGCTTCAGTATGTGTATGTTCACATCACTGCCATTAAATAATATGGGGCATAGTGATTTGTAGGTGGTCAAAATTGTGCATCAGAAACCCATTATACTTCTCTAAAAAGTTAGGCCAAAGAGGCCATATAAAATCAGAGCAGGAGCCATAGCTTGCTTTCCCTTAATATAAGTAGTATGGAAAAAATATATATACCGGTATTTTAGAACATCATTTTGTCTGTGTACATATCATTTCAGCTGCCTCAGTGTGCTATAACCTCATTATGATCAGTATCAAGTACATAGATTATAACTAGGATGCATGAGCTGTATGAATGGTAAGGTGTCAGTCCATGATGTAAATAATAGGAAAATATTAAGTAACTCATAGTATCCTACATGGATTTTGAACTAGGTAGGATAGTAAAAGTATCTGAGGGGACTCCTATTAATCTGGGAGCCATTCAGTTATTTATAATTCATTGAATCAGGTGAACCAAACTCTCTGGTGCCATGGCTTTGGACAGATGGTACATCTGAGAAAGAATCAGTAGGTTTATCTGAACTGTGTTCATAAGGTTAAGAAAAAGATATCTTTTCAAGATACAATCATCTGCAGAGAATATTGCGTTTACAATGTTGTATTTGTTATTAAGAATGTAATCTCATACAATTTGCCAAGAGATAGTTGTGTTTCTGTGATTTGCAGTGTCCTCTCTCTCTGTTATACACACTCATAGGAAAAGAGACAGAGATGGATAAAGACTGTGATGTGCTATTAATTTTGTCCAGACTTTAGCTTAATCAGAAAGTTGTATATTTTTCCGTAGATCTAACCTTGAACAGTATTTTTGAAAGTGCAGTAGTAATGTACAACTGGAAGAGACTTCAACAACCTCTATCTTAACTCAGCTGTCAAAAAGACAAATTTTTCTCATTCCAAAATCTCTTTTATCATTTATCACTGCTGATATTTTCAACTTGCATTACCTATGAAGAGAACTATGTATGATAAAGGGTGTATCTGTTGAATTACTGTTGGGGATATATCTAGAGAGAAATAACTGAATTCTGCCAACATCTAGTAATCTTCAAAATATCATTTAAGAGACAAACACAGCAAGAAAAAATTACCAGAAACCCCTGAAGAAATTACTGAATGTAGAGAACTTCCAAAGAGTTAGCTGTGGCTTATTTGCTGCAGATGTGGCAAAGAACTTGTAGGAACTTCAAGGTTAACAAATTAATTAACAGCCCACTTCATCAGATGGAGGCAATGATGTCTTGAGCTAATACAGTCTTCCCTCCCCATTCGTGGACTTGTAGTCCATGGTCTTGCTCTTCTTGACACAAGGCTGGGAGGGAACAAAATGGTGCACATGCCAATGGCGTGTGGCCATTGAAATCAATGGGGCCCCAATATTGGTGATATTTCCAATTTGCTAGGGGTCTGGAACGGATCCCCATGAATCGGAAGGGACGACTGTTTACATATTGGTATAGGGAGAAAAAAACAATAACATTGCGCTCAGATTTCAGTGGAATGCCATCTGACCTTGCTACTTCCATTGCTTCTTCCCATTCTATGCTCATATCTGTGCCAGTTGAGGATAATTCTTCATGCATACAATAAAGTGGACTGTAACCCACAGAACCTTCTACCATAATAAATATGTTGATGTAAGGTGTTGCAAATGGATGCACAGGAGCCCTGGTGGCACAGTGGTTAAATGCCTGTACTGCAGCCATTCACTCATAGACCACAAGGTTGCAAGTTCAATACTAGCCAGGGCAGGCTTGACTCAGGCCTGCATCCTTCCGAGGTCGCTAAAATGAGTACCCAGCTGTTGGTGGGCAATGAACTTACAGTTGTAAACCGCTTAGACACTCCATAGCTCAGTATGAAGTGGTATGTAAATGAAGCTGCTTTGCTTTGCTTTGCTTTATTGCCATCACCACCACTTTGACTTATGGTGACCTTATGAACTTCCCAAGATATCTTGGCTCAGGTCCTTTAAATTCTGGTCAATGACTTCCTTGACTGATTCTTTCCACCTGTAACACAGTCTTCCTTGTTTCTTATTGCCAGTTTACCAAGGAATCTAATTTTTTCCTAGGGAGTCATGTCCTCTCATGAAATGACTAAAGTGCAATAGCCTCAGTTTAGTCATTTTGGCTTCTAGGCAGAGTTTAGGTTTGCTTTGCTTTCTGACACATTTATTGGCCATTTTAGTATCCATAGGACTTTCTTCTAGCATCACATTTCAAACGAGCTGAATGTCTTCCTGTTTAGCTTTCACAACCATACATAGAAATTGGCAATTCTATGCCATGGAAGATCCTGATTATGGCATTTAATTATATATCTTTATACTTGATAATCTTAGCTCATTTCTTCCTAATTGCCCTTCCCAGTCCTATTCAACTTCTATTTCTTGACTGCAATCTCCATTTAAATTTATGACTGAACCAAGGTATAGAAAGTTTCTGATTATCCAGGGATTATTTCCACAATTGATTTATATCTTATGGTCATTCTCCCACATTGCTACTTATAGACTTGGGTTGTGTGGTTTTATCTGAACATTTGATTATTTTAGAGATTTTTTCATATTTTTTGTGATCTTTTACATAGATGCACACAAAATATACATGTATTTCCGAACCCTGTTGGTTTGTTTTCCATTGAGTCCAGTTGTATCATTAGAAACGGTGCTATTTATAATTATCCTCTGCTCTTCCCTAGCAGCTGGTTGAGTGCCTGCTGACCTGGAAGTCTCATCTTTCAACACTATCTCTTCCTTCATTTCAGGTTGTCTCATTGTAGAGCTTTCAGTGAAAGCATCTCTGATGTGGGAATCTATTAGTAGCAATACTACTGTCATCATAGCATCTTCTCCCACAGAAGCACGTAATCCCACCATAATGGAAAGGTAGCACCATGGTGGGTAGCAGATCTATAACATGTTTGTACAATATTTAATTGTACTAAATAATAATAATAATAATAATAATAATAATAATAATAATAATAATAATAATAATATTTTTTATCCTGCCTCTCTGCGTAATGCAACCGGAGAGCGGCTTACAACATTAAAATATACATTACATATCCCACAATCCCACCCACCCCTTAAAAATACTATTAAACAATGACAATTTAAAAACATACTTAAAATAATAATGCAAATAAACAAATAAACAAAAACTGCAGCAGAATCAGGGGAGCTGTTTCTTGATGGCCGGGATATCTATTCAGGAAAGGCCTAGCTTTTTTTCTTGCAAAGAGATCAATGATATTTCCTACAGATTTTTAAAGCTGTTTAAGGTGGTAATATGACAGATTTCATCTGGCAGGTCATTCCATAATCTGGGAGTGATTGCCATAAAGGTCCTCTGGGTGGTTGCAGACAGCTTAGTTTTTTATAGGCTGCAGCAGATTCCTCCCAGAGGACCTG